ATCATAGCTGTACTATCAGCCTTCCTGAACTTATCTAAATTTGCCTCATACTCAGCTACCTCTGCTGTTGACAGCTCTTCTTTCTGTGTAGGCGCTTGTAGATTTCCCTCTATGACATCCATTACTCCAGACTGACTCCTCAGCAGAATACTAATCTTGAACTTCCAGGTAGCACAATTATCTTTCCCATTTAGAAGTCCAATTTGAACTTTTGTAAACTCCATATTATTATTTAGCCCTTTCCAGTAAATATAATATGTTACAAAAAGAAATAAGTACTTCACTATCAACAGTTTGTTATATTAACGAAACCAAAGCTCTGCTACCATGTTGAAATTAAAGAAAATAACTACTGTTGATACAGGAAAGAATAATTGTGTTTAGACATTTTGCTATGTTCACATCTGGGCAAAAACTTGAAAACAGGACAATTGCTGTCCCCAGCATTTGAAAAAAATTATACTTACCTACATTAATAAATCTTATATTTTTTGAAAGTTTGGTCTTTGTAGTTCATAAATATAATGTTTTTAAGTCTGAAATTAATTTATATAATTAATTATTACTAGAAGAAAAATTTGGGGACAGGTTTTTGTGTAATGTGGGTCACACACAAAATCCTAAGTTTTGACACAGTTAGCTTGAAAGAATTATGGTAATTATGATTCCATTAGCTTTTTAGGTTACCAAATAACAGTCAAGTGTGAAAAATATAATAGTTTATGAATATATTTGATGTTAAAAGCTCAAATAAAACTGTAATAAATTTGTGGACATGATTTCAGGATCTCTCTTTTTCCTTTATCCAACACACAATACTTATTATAGGTTGTTTTTTGGGTTTTTTCAAATAATGTACTTATAAGTACAATTTCCAATTATAAAACGACCATTTAAATTAGTAGTTTTTATTATATGGCAACAAAAACTTTGTGACCCACCATTACAAGAGTGACCCAAATTACAGCTAATGTAGGTCACGTGACTGACATTACATGTAATGCAGGTAACAAATTTTCAGCTGGATCCATTAACTAACATCACAACAGAGGTGTCAGCAATTTGTTAATTACAGTAATGCATAATATTAGTAACGCTGTGTCACCTTTTGATTTTATCGTCTGCTAATGATAGGTCACATCAGACTGAGCGAGGTTCGTAATTTTCTCGCTAATCTCGCAGCCAAACTCTGGCCGCCCAGATTGTCATATAGTCTCCACAATCGGAATATTTATCGTAAAGAAAATAAATATAAGCAATCACCAATCATATCGTGGGTTACTGGAAAAAAAAAATTCTCGACATTGAAAACTCATAAGAGAAGTAATTTGGGTCACAAAATGTACGAAAAGTAATGCTGGTCACACCTCAGATCCTCAGATTTTGTGACCGACATTAGCGTGACCGATATTAGCATTTTTACTCTCGTCATTGACTAAAACGAAACATGGTGGCATAGTTCCCTTCGCAAGCTATTATGTTTGATTTAATATTTGTTTTACTTATATTTTCTTAGTTTTCAATAACTTATTCACCTTATTGTCACAGTTATCAAGGGTACCGAGCATTACGCAAAAACTTAACGCTAACAAAACAGGTTTTAAAAAACGACTTTCCTGTTAACCTGCAAAGCCTGGAGTCACATCGCGTCTGACCTACCACACCCACATCTAACAAGGAACTGAGAGAGGGCGAAGTCTTGTTCCACCCGAAGACGAGAAGGTTCAATGACCCGACGAGAACCGGTCCCAACCCTCGAACCCAGCATTACGTTCCCGGCTGGGGACGCGACTTTTAACGCCCGCTATTGCCGTTATATTTAATTAAAAAGTCCGTTTGATGTATTTTTATAATCTTTTAACATTATTCATCAATTTAAAACCAAATATTACAACAATATCGTCTTAATACTACTGAAGAGGTAGGGTTATTGTATCCAACTTCTAATCTTGGGGACAGGGTTTTTGCATTAAATGTAGACAACATGAACTTTTTAAACACACTTTTCTTTATTAAATACAACAAAAACAAATACAAATTACACATTTTTATATAAAGTAAAGTATGATAAATTATTTAAAACCATTAGAAGTAAGAAATACATGACAGAAGAGAGATAATTAGCTGGGGACAGCAATTGTCCTGTTTTCAAGTTTTTGCCCATCTACAAACTCATATTATTTGTTTATATGACAAAACTGCTTTAATAATAATATCACAGCTGTAAAAAAAAAATTAAGGAAAATTATTGAAATGACAGATAATCACATATCTTAACAATTTGTGTAACTAGTGAGCAAAGTGGCACTTTGCTGCACACGAGAGCAATGTTTACGCACTCGCCTGCGGCAGAATGGTCTTGTCTTTTGCACTCGTGTTAGACATTATATTTTTCCTACAGTCACTATAAAGCATATAAATAATTAGTCTTTCAAACACTATGCAACACGTTTTTAGGTTCAGCCGGCAACACAAATAGGTGCCCTAGAGAAAGTAGTCACCGGTCCGTATGACTCCGCTATTTTTTCCTTGGCAAGCAATGTGCTCCGCGACTTGAGAAAATAGTTCCGTATGTTTTTGTAATTTGAAGTGGTTTCCGCGCCTAAAAAAAATGCTTTAAAGGTATTTTCTTGTTTATTAAGATCGTAGGAATGTTTTAAAAACGTTTAAAAGAAAAGTTCAGTAAGTTCAGAAATACCGAAACTATAAACACAAAATGAAAAGTTAAATCGTAGTTAAAATAGTCAATCAGCTGCTCATAGTATTATTATCTTTAAGTGTTGCCAACCTATTTCCAAGCGTACACGGATTACGTGCATCATAGAACCATGCTGTTTTGTGTTGTTTCGTTGGAATCCTGATGTGCGCCAAAGTATAAACCGTACGACAAAGTATAAATACGCAGCAATTAGCAGCTTTCTGTACTATAAACAGTGCAAGGAAGCCAACTTTTTCGGGTGACTGTAGGAAAAATTAGTTATTTCATTGAAAATATTGTTTTGTATTGAAAGTAAAACATAAATAAAAAAAAAATGAAAACTACTTACTGCGCCTTAATATATACCATGCTGCTGGTCAGTGTATCCAAGAGACCAAAACAAAATTTCAGCTAATGGGGTTGAGAAAATCCTGTTCTATTTTTACCCTGCTTTCATACATTAAAAAAATCCCGTTTAATACAGCACTAGCTGGCCCGACAGACGTCGTCCTGTCCTAATGTGGTTTTATGTCAAATGCTCGTTCATTTTCAAGATGACCTCGTTCGCATGGCACAATCACGTCCTGGTTGAAGTTCGTTTGCTTCTCTCACTCACCTTTTGGTTGCAAATTAGCTGTTGTCATAAATTTAATAAAATAATAGTGCTGCACCCTGTTAATAAACCTATTAAATTTTTAATGCTATTGAACATCACAGAATCAAATTGTTTAGTTGAACCAGCTGGTAAGATTATTTAATTCCATTTAAATATGAATACTCATAAGGTTAACATGGCAAACTCCAGAGCCACTGGGGCGGAGCCCTTTAGACGGATCTGCACCAAACATCACACAAACCATCCTTGAATAATGCTTAATAATGCCTGAAAGTTTCATTACAATCTGTAGAGTGGTTTCGGAGTCCATAAAGGACAAACAAACAAACATACATTGGATTTTATACAGGGTGGGGCAATGAAAGCGCCCCAATTTATAAGTAGTACAAACTCAATAATATTCACCCTATGGGTATAAATAGCCCATCAAAACACAGCTTATCTTTTGCCATTTTAACTTAACCAACTCATTTTTCATTTCTTGAAAACAAAATCCTGCAATTGACGTCCTTGTCCTACTTGACATTCCTTTTTAGTCACTTGAAAACTCCATTAAAGTCCTCCAGCATTTCTTCAGGAATCACTTTAGTTTTTGGATAATTCTTAGCTTCGGTTCAAGAAAATCTGTGGGGTGACTTTGAAATACCTAAAACTTCAGGTAACTTGTTAGAATAACCCCCCTCCCCCCCCAAAAAAGGAGCCAACGTAAAGCTTTGAACAACAAAAGCTTCCTGGCAAATCTCTTTGGACCTTGAGTTACTGCGACTCGCACATTTTCAACATTTGCTGGTGTACAAAGGGTTTTGCGGTACCCACCGATTATTTTTAAGGTTTAAGCTATTATCCTAAATAGTTTTACCCAGTTCACCATTGTTTTCCAATCTGTAACAGCGCCATGTTGACCAAGGAGGGAATGTGGTCCAAACAATCTCTGAATTTATGCACAAAAATCACTTTTTTAAAAATAGGTTTCCACATCAAAATCTAAGTGTTAATATCCTCAGGCATAATATTTACTAAAATGGCATAGCTTAATTGATGATATAAGCACAACTGTTTATTCATTGTTGCTTTACGTATAGTGTGACAACGAAAGGAAATTGGGGTGCTCTCACTGCCTCACCCTGTATATATACTGTAGATATTGGTTTAAGGTGAAAAGCAGTATAAAAAGAAAGCAGGCGTAAGAATCTTGTTTCACTTGCATCTTATTTTAATCCTTATTTTAATCTTATTTTAATACACTGCTCCTGGTGCTTTTTTTCAACTAACTTTTAAGCGGAACTGGGAAAAGTCAATTTAAGCTACCTTACAGATGAAAATTCTTGACTGGGTCAAGTACCCCTACTCTCCCCCATCTACCTAAGTAGGCCTAGAGATTACATGGCATACACACATTTTAAATCTACACAGGTTGACTCCTGAGACCTCAGATACCTAATGACACAAAACACCATAGTAGCTTTGCAGAACTTTGCAGGAGCTTTGATTTTCCATCTCATTGGCGACCCTAATTAACGAGATAATATAGATGTGGACTGTGAGTACTCTAGTGAGTAAATAATACAAGCAAAAAATTTACATTTGTTATTCAAACCAACACAGCACCAATAAAATTCAAACTCGTCCTGATAACAGAGACCAGACTCGTTACAGGCTAATGTTTTATGTTTTGTTGAACCATACCTTGAACAGATCTTTGAAGTACTGGCTGCAAGCAGAGAGCACTACACGATGGGCACGAATACTTCGACCTCCTGCACACAGGGTAACATCTGTCAGGTCGTCTCCATCCAGCAGCTGAGGCAATGTTGCTAACAGACAGTTCTGGTAGTTGTGCCACCTCAGGCAAAACTGCTGTTCTCTTTCACTTCCCATCCTGCAACATCATAGAGCAACTTTTGGTAACAAGTTTGCAGTGTGATCATCATATATTCAAACCCACTTGCTGATTATCCCTCTATGGCTTATTGTTTCAAAGAGGGTAGGCCTAAAAGACTTCCATTGACTCGGTAGTTTAGTTGTTTCAGTTTGCTCATTAGTTGACCAGGTTACAATAGGTTAGTCTGGATTATGGAGCATTGGATATTTCAGAGCAAGTCATTGGATTTTAGTGATGTTATAGAAACAGCACTTGCTGGATTAAGTGCTAGTCTAACAATCGAAAGGTCACCAGATCAATCCTGAAAAAAGTCAGTAACTTTTTGATGGTTCGAAACTGAATCCAGCTGTCCCTGAGCAACGTGCCATATTACATCTACTGTCCATACAATTAAAGGCAGAACACACACATATGGCATGTTCTACTTGCTACGGTCTGATTATCTCTTTTAATAAAATCAATTAAATTTCCTTTTTTTATTTGATTGAATGGTTATTAATGTAACTAGCTGTTACCCAAGGGCTTCACCCCGTTTGACTTCATAAGTATTAATAAAACTATTGATTGGTTAAGTTAAGCTAAAATAAACAAAGCAGAATACAGTAATACAAACAAATAATCACACCTGATTTTAATAAGATAACTAGGTGGCGTTTGCAGACGCGTCCACAAAATTGAGCGGAGTCATCAGGGCATTATAATGCCATTGACCCTCACCATAAAGCTTCAAAATTATTTTTACGTACAATTTAAAATAGACAAAAGATTGTGTTGAGACAACTTTAATTTATTGGTTAATGAAATTCAACAGATGTGAGTGAACATTTCAATTACACCAAAAGTTTATCTTCAAAAAGTTTCTTTCTCAGACGTTCTTTTGGAAATCCTGTGTCAAAAGGAGGGGGGTCCGGGGAAAATTTAGAAATAACGTCTTAAAATGAGTGATTTTAAACTATTTTGAGGACCTAGTTTATTGTCCCAAGCTTCCCAATATATTTCAAGGTCAAAGAATTTTTTAAAAATAAACTTGCATAATGTCACGCTTTTGCATTATTGAGACTTGTGGTTTTAATAGCGAAGGAATACCGCAACATTACAACACATTCAAGCATTATTGATTTACAAAAATACCCTTTCAACTGGTGCCGATGTGAACATGCTAAACAGAAAATGTCCAAAATCAGACCAAGATTTCGAACCAGAGAACTTATTTGATCTAATGTTTGAGAAATTGTACCCAACACGACTGCATTATACCTGCCCAGCAAGCAACAATTAACCTACACAGAGTACACTACCCAACTAACGTTGCCCGTTGCCGCTACCGCCTGAAGAATTGGTTCTCAGTGTTCTCATTTTTTTCCACGCCAGTGGCATTTTACAAGTGGTCAATGCGAGAATAAGGTTTTTGTGGTTGTCCGGGAATGAAATCCGTCCATTCCGCATCTAAGTCTGAGAAACTACCATTTTGATTTTGTTTTGTGGCTAGCAACATACCAATGGTAATCTTAAATAATATGATATAAGGTGCCCTAAATATGAATACTATTTAATATTGAAAGGAGATAATATTTGCTATGGTAATCATTGAATTACATTACTGTTGCTGTAATTACAATTCCTAATGCTGAACTCAGATAAATTAATATTTAACTACCTTTCAAGCTTTGACTATTGATACAACTTCTTTTCTTTATCCAATACCCAATTCAAGTTTTCAATCATATGTTAAAATGAATGATAGCATTAAATGCTGAAAAATTAAATAAGAAGAAGAATGCGGCTGAACGTTGAACGCCAGCATCGGAGACTGCCGTTGCTGTGTATGACTGAAAGTGTCCGTCGTCTGCCCAACTTCCCTACTTTTCATAACGTACAAAAAATAGTCAGACTCAAACGATCCCGAGTTTTAGATTAGAGTTGTAATTAGTACTTTCGTTCACCACAAGTGTCAAGACTACAATGGTGTCAAGACTACAATGAATTTGATAGAACGATTTGCAATAAAAATTATTAAAGCTACCCTGTTATAAGAGGTTATCTATATAAAAGTATTTTGGGGGGTCACGCAGTGGCGGATTTACCATAAGGCACACTAGGCACGTGCCTAGGGGCGCCAGCCGTTGAGGGGCGCCCGCCGTCTAAGGGCGCCTAACCGCGGCAGGCAGCGGGTAACGTGACGGGCGGCACGACTACGGGGGGTGTGCGTGGCCCCTTCACAGTGAGTAGCGCTCTTAGCGGGAATGATGACATCATCACTTACTTCCAGCTTTACGCTTTACTGATTTCTATATCAGTCTAAAATAATTTATTGGTATCTTCTATGATTTAATTACATTTATGGATTAAAACTTCATTTTCTGAAGGAGGTATGAGCTCATCATGGTCAATTAGGATAGCTGTAATCTGTATGTTATAAAAGGTGATGTGACACTAAACTTGGCTCTCGGTTGGTAAACCAGTTGGCCTACAGATATTATAGAATTCATTTCAACATTTATCTTGGACTTATTTACCACACAATTTGAGTAGTTCCAGATTTCATGAATCTATTTTGATTATCTAATCTTACTAATATTATAAATGTGAAAGTTTGTGTGTTTGAAGTTTAATCACGCATAAACCACTTGACGGATTGGGCTGAAATTTGGCATGATGATAGCTTACATTCCCGATTAACATATAGGCATATTCTTATCTCAAAAATCCTTTCGGGCTCCGCCCCAGTTGCTCTGTAATTCCCGATGTTAACCTTATGAGTATTCCTATTTAAAGGGAATTAAAGAATTTAGTCAGCTGTTTCAGCTAAAAAAGTTGGTTCTATGATATGGAAAAGCATTAAAAAGTTATCAGATTTACCAACAGGGTGCAGCACTATATTTTTTTTGCATTTATGCAAACAGCTAATTTGAACTAAGCAGCAACAAAAAAATGTGATTCACAATGAGAACTGTCAAAGTAGGATTGTTTACAGTTATGTTTACGTTTTTAATTTCATGAATAATTTGTGATATTTTGCGAATTGTTGATAATTTATTTTTCTCTATTGTTTGGGTGAAGTGGTAGAACATTATGGCTATGGTAGATGTGTAATACTATAGAATACTGTAAATTTAAAAAAGCAAATTTTATCAAACTGTGTCCTCCCTTATTGCAAACGCAAAGCTTGAGTATAACTGCAATAAGCATTTTATACTTATATTCCAACCCCGTGCGTACGAAGGACGGGTACTCTGCTAGTCTTAAATCATTTTGAATCAACAGCTTGTGCATAAACCAGAGAAGAAGGTCAAAATTTCCTCCCTTGCTACAGGAGAAACAAAACTTAGTTATTTTAGTTTCGATATCTATATATATAAAAGGCAAAGCCCTCACTGACTGACTGACTCACTCATCACTAATTCTCCCACTTCCCACTTACCTAGGAGGCTGAAATTTGGTACACTGATTCTTTAGGCATTAAATAGGAAAACTAAGTGGTTTTTATTCTGATCGGACTCTCGGGCTCTGGAGTTTCCCATGTAAACCTAATGAGTACTCATATTTAAATGGAATTAATGAATCATAACAGCTGTTTCAATTAAACAAGTTGGTTCTGTTCTATGATGTTCAATAGCATTAAAGTTACAAGGATTACCAACAGAGTGCAGCACTATTATTTTTTTAAATATTTGACAACAGCTAATTTGAAACCAAAAGGTGAGTGAGCGTAGCGAACGAACTTCAACCCGGAGGCGAGGTAGCGTAGCGAACGAGCTCCAACCGTAAAGGTGAGTGAGCGTAGCGAACGAACTTCAGCCATGACGTGTGAGCGCAGCGAACGAGCTCCAACCTAAAGGTGAGTGAGCGTCGCGAGCAAACTTCAACCAGGACGTGATTGAGCCATGCGAACGAGCTCACATATGAAGTTAAACGGGGCAAAGCCCGCGGGTACAGCTAGTTACGTATAAAACGTTTAGTTGCCTTGAAAATTACCCAAGCAATTATCATTTAAAATCCCGGCATTCTTTTAAAAAGACCCTGTATATATATATATATATATATAACTAACTAGAATATATATATATCTACTAGAAATATAATTTTTAGGGTTCTCTGTTGTACTTTTACTACCGTAATTTAATATATTATCAGCAGCCCTATTACGTGAACACCTAAATTCAAATATATATAATAATTTCATAGAAAGTATAAGAAAAACCAAAACAAAACCAATTTAAGCTGAATACATTTGAATTGAATTTAGTCAAGGACGGCAACGTGTTCGGCGATTAATTTAGGCTATTCATATTCATATTTATTCTCGTCTCAACAACAAAATATATGTTTTTCTTAAAACCTATTAATACAACTTTAATATAAAGTAGGCCCTACTCATATAGTGACTATGTTTTTCCTGGAAAATGCATTAATAAGCATGCCAACAACGGGAAGTTTAATATTGCTTTACGCTGAAACCTTTCCTCAATCGCGGAAAACAAAGGGGCGGCCGGCCGAACGGGCCTAGGGGCGGCGCCGTAGGTAAATCCTCCACTGGGGTCACGACCCCCCCCCCCCCCTGGGACCGCCCTTGACTGTAAACATACATCAACCCAGCACTGAATTCTCTAGGTCCAATATCAACAACTGCTTGGTTCAGGGTCATGTCTTGGAATTTGTGAAATGTAGGTGTCAATAAAAACTGGTTTTCGAGTATACTTAATGCCATGTTTTACAAATTATTTACAATAGGGACAATCGGTACCACATTATTGTATAATGTGGGCCCTCTATAATTACTAAATTTAACTAATACACATAAAAACTTCATTTTCAAATGTGATAAGATTTCTTCACATTCGTATAAAATATTGTGGAAAGTGCCGACTACCACTACATAGACTAATCCTGCATTGGTCCAAAGGTTGTGGCGTTACATGACTCTACATAATTTGGCTAATCTGAGGATGTTTTCATAAGATTGGCATTCATCAGAACTCAATATAGAGTCTATTGAA